GGTCTCGAACCCGCGGACTCAGGCAATCCACTCACCTCAGCCTCCCAAAGGCGTGGGATTCCAGGCTGAGCCACCGAGCCCGGCTGGTGGATGCATTATTGACACCTCCCTGACTAGAGACCCCCTGGTTATAGAACTTGGCCAAAAGCGGGTGATCCCAGGTCTGGAGCAGGACTTCTAGACGTGTGTGTGGGAGAGAAACGCAGGGCAAATATTCCTTCTCACTTGGCCTGTGGAAAGCGGGGATCTCCACCGCCTATTCCAGCAGATGCAGCAGCGTGGGATGATGTAGAGCTGATTGCACGTATCTGAGCCAACTGCTGGCAAAAGCTGGTGAAGGGCATTGTGCCTCTGGCAGGTATGGCCATAGTGCCAGCCCTTTTGGGTCTCATTGGGGGCCACCTATACAAAAATGCCAACAGACCCAAGTCTCCAAAAAGAAGCTCAAAGAAGAGAAATGAAACAAGAGCAAAAAGAAATAATTTTTTTTTTGAGTCATAGTCTCACTCTGTCGCCGTCTGGAGTGCCATGGCATGCTCAGTTACCTTAGCGTTGACCTGCTGGGCTTTGGCAATCCTTCCGCCTCAGACTTCCAAGTAGGGAAACTACAGGCGTGCACTACCACACCTGGCTACTTTTTGATTTATTGTAGAGATGGTCTCACCAAGTTCCCCAGGCTGGTCTCGAACCCACGGGCTCAGGCAATCCACTCGTCTCGGTTTCCCAAAATGCTGGGATGACAGGCTAAGCCACTGAACCTGGCAAATAATAAAAAAAAAAAAAAGAAAAAAGAAATCAGAGTACCTTAGCTCTGTCATAAGGTGTGAATTATTTGTATGAAGAACTGGATCTTTCTGCTACTTCCTCTTAAAAGTTTTGAGTCCCATGGAGTTGGTGTTTCCTCCTCCATGCAAATATAGCTAAAGAATTTCAGGTCAAGCCGGGCTCGGTGGCTCAGCATGTAATCCCGTGCCTTTGGGAGGTTGAGGTGAGTGGATTGCCTGAGCCCGCAGGTTCGAG